GATTTATTACAATATTTGTGTGTTCTGTTATTTGGGGGTCACCTTATATTTTTTCAGAATTATATACTTTCAAAGTAAACTTGTGTTTTTTTTTATACTGTATATAGAGCATAAAATGTATTGTTGGTAAATTTACTATAAAAATGTATTTTTTTAGTGTTGCATTGTTTGTCATTTTGCTATAAACATGTATTTTGGGTCATTTTATTATAAAAATGTGCTGTTGATTTTTGTTTGGGGGTTCACTATTTGCTCATATTTAGGGGCAGTTAAGAGGCGGTTCCACACTGTTCAAAATCTGCAATCTCCCGATTGGCGACCTTGCTGCCAGATATAGTTTATCGTCATACTCTGGACAAATGAATTATATTTGCTTGCTTGTCAAGCTACTTTTCACAGTTGAGCGTGATATCACTTGCGGTGGAGTTAGTATTTACAATATTAATTCTTTGGACAAGCGTGTCCTCTTTTCTTTCCCAGTTGGGGCTAGGTAATCTTCCCACCTTTATTTCATCGATCGATCGATCTATATATATATATATATATATATATATATATATATATATATATATATATATTATATAATTTTCAAGACTATCTGAAGGGCTTTATTACGGACTATTTGGGGGCTATTTTTTATAATTCTGACAGATTTTTGTTTCCGGTAAAAGTTTAAATATAAATTGTTCGATGTCTTATTACTTTCAGCATTCTTAGTTGATTATCAAAGCGTTTTTGCTATTTGCTTTATGTGGGTTTCATCGCTTTTTAAATAATGCCTCTTCACGTGTGTTGTTAAATTTTTAAAGCATCCTTTTCACGTTTTTGTTTGTCCTGTCGTTTTTTGCATATTTTGGTTCTTTTTTCCTTTATAAAGGTGGATATATATATATATATATATATATATATATATATATATATATATATATATATTGTAAAATTTATACTTTCATGTGTTTTACTGAATAAGCCACATTGATATTTGCTTTGTTTTCTTATCGAAATTAGATTTTAATAGTTTTCAATTCATTTTTTCTCAAGCTTACGTATCCTATTGTATGATTTCTTATATATGCCGCCCGTCAGTACCTTGGTGATCATGGATCTCCACAATTTCCTGTCCTTTGTAACAGTTTTAACTTAGGGAAGGTTATTGAATAGAATAATCAAACTAAGGTTGATAATGAATGATAATACTTAGGACACGAACAACACATATAAGATTCGCCAGCGGCGCGTAGATGTAGTAACTACTAGAAGTGAGTCAAGTGAATTTCACAATGAATCTCCAACTGCAGGTTATCTACCAACCTCCGCACGCTGTCAGATGTGGCACAGGGCCGAATTTAATGTAGGTTCCACTAGAGCGACTACTTCCCACGAAAAGCTGCTTTGTGCGAGGTTTTGGTATAACATCAGTTCCGGAAATATTTCAAAGGAAGTCAGAATTACTGAAAAATATTCAGGAAATCGAAACAATTATTGACGCTGATCAGTATCATCTGATCTACAGTAAAAATATAGAACACGACGAAAAAAAAACCCGACTCAAACTTAACAAAGAAAATTGTGAATTCAAAAAAACACGATTACATGATTTTGAACATATAATTCCTGGAAAAGGAATTCGACCGAGCAAGGGAAGATTAAATGACTTTCTTTAGTTACTTCACCTACAAATTCCAGCGAAATACTTTGCATAATCGGCATGGTCAGCTACTTAGATTCTTAGCCAACTTCTCTGAAATAATACAACCAATGATGAAATTATTAAAAAAGGTCACTGTATGGGTGTGGAATTACTCACAAGAGAAATCTTTTAAGAGGATAAAGGAATTACTAACTCAAGCACCAATTCTATTGTACCATGATCCAAAGAGTAGTTAGCACTGACGCTTGCATTTATGGTCTTGGAAGAGATTTATTTCAAGAAATAGATGATAATTTAAAAATAATAATATTTGCCTTACACTCGCTCAATAGCGCTGAGAGAAAGAGTGTTTAAGCTGTGTATGGTCATTTGAGAAGTTTGACAGATACGTCAAAGGTCTCGAATCTTTTAAACTGCTAATGGACCACAAACCACTTATACCGTTGATAAAGACACGTGATCTGTACAATACCCCATTACGATGTCAAAGGCTTCCGATGAGACTGAGAAGTTATGGCCCAGCAGCAGATCACGTTCCTGGGAAGGTATTAGTCGTACCAGATACACTATCAAAAAGTCCTTTATTAGACACTGATAGTAATACCAGCAAAGAGGTTGGAATATACACTGCCTGCGTGGAAAGAATCAAACCAGCATCGGATAAGAAATGAAATGAAATGAAAACAGCTGCTAAACCACAGTATTACAATGAATAATACACATCACATTAAAATGGTAGACACATAAAGAAGAAATATTAAAAAAAATGTATAAGGCGACCATTTTCAATCCATGTCAATGGACTATGGTTTCAGGACAGAATTGCCAATACCTGAAAACTTATACCAGAAATATAAATGGCACTTCTTAATGGTCACTTTCGATTAAACAAATAGCGAGAGAGAGCCAAAGAATCGGTGTGGTGGCCTAAAATATCTCAGGACTTTCACGAGTATCTAAAAACAATACACGTTTTGTAACATTAACCGTCCAACAAATAAGGAGAAAAAATTAAATTTAAGACCATTTCCTGAAGATCCATGGCAAAGAATTGGTACAGATATTGGTACAGATATGTTCACTCTCCAAGTACACCAATATATTGTCGAAATAGATTATTTCTGAAGATATACAGAAATAGCAAAGTTCAATCCAGTGAAAACCGATGGTGTTTTAGGGAAGTTGAAGAAATTCTTCACGCGTTTGAGAATTCCTGTGGAACTTGTCGCGGACAATAGGAAACAATTCCCTAGTAACGCTCTCAAAAATTTTGCAAACATTTATAGATTTGAACATATAACATCAAGTCCACACTATCTCTAAGCAAATGGAGACGTAGAAAATGCTGTTGAAATAGCTAATAGCAGACATATTTCAGGAATTAATAGTATACTGGAATATGCCAATTTTAGCAGCAGTACTAAGCCCCACACAATAAATTAAGGGAAAGAAAATAAGAACCACATTACTTTTACATACAAAAATAAGATAAGGTTAAATTGCAGTGTAACACCCGTGCTCAGTTTGGGTTTAAAATTTCCAGAATACTTACATTTATGTGCAATTCTAAATGCTCCATTCGAATCTGGCTTGATAAATTTGATAAAATCTACCGTTCTGGCGTTATCGGCAGTGAAATTTCGGATTCATTCGCGTTGTTGGCGTCAGCCATTACTGTCGTTATTGGCATACATTCGCTGCGGAAAGCTAAACGCTGAAGACTACGGAAAGCTAAGCGCGAAACTGATCAAATTTGTCTCAATTACTGCGCACGAGAACTATTTACGTAGACTCGCTCAGTTTGCGCAATGATACCTACATTGATAGCTATTCTGCAGCAAATATATGCAAACAACGCCAGTAATGACTGCTCGCAACTCAAATGAATCCGAACTTTCGCTGTTAATAACTCTAAAACGGTAGATATTATCAAATTTATCAGGCCAGATTCGTATGGAGCATGTACAATTACACATAAATGTAAGTATTCTGGAAATTTTTAATGCGAAATGGCCTGATTTCTCACGAATCAGGGAGAGAGACAAACTGGCAAAAACAAGAATGGAAAAGACTTTTAGCACATTCAATGGGACCAGAAATAAAAAGAGGGAAAAGAACTCTAAAGGAACTGATTTCTGAAGAAATATGGAAATATATTCATTTTCAGGTTTTGAAAACAGACTTTTGAGAGAGAAAGAAAACAAGTAGTAATCATTACAAAGATTTTCAAGCAAATAATAAAAGGAAATACAGAAAACTCAGAACGGCCGGACAATAAATACTCCAAAATATTTGTTTAGTTTCACAAAATGAGTTGTATTCCTTTGATTGTAAGCAAAACAAACATTGAATTGTAATTGTTTTCTTTTATAATTTCGAAAAGTTAGACATTAATTAATAATGAAAATAAGAAATTACTAGAGAAAGAACGATGTTTTATACCATCAACAATGAGGATAAAGATCTGTAAGCACTTCCTGTCACACGGGGAATGCTGGGAGCAAATGGATCAATCAACAGGTTGAATAAAATTGTTGTTGAATTTAGCACGTCTTGTGTCGTCTTTGTGTTGCTAACAGCTTTTCAGCAATCAATCTCATATAATTTATCTTTCCACCCTAAGCACAGTTAAAAATAAATTAAATCAAGGATGAACGATCAATTTTAAGAAAACAGCAAGGTGAACGGCCCAAATTCCAAACTACGCATTAGAGACGACACACTCAAGGAAGTAAAAAAATAAATAAATAAAATGAATATCTAACAAGTGTTTTCACAGAGCACGTGAGGAGGAAAGGAGACATGAAGCATTTAAATTGTTGAAGACCTTAGGTAACAAGAAAGCAAGCATCTGGAAGGAAGTTCCATAAGTGAGAAGTATTAGAAAAAAAATTATTAAAATAGAACTTATGGCTACATTTGGTTATTTGAAAAGTAAAACGATGAGATTTAGTTGCCAAACTAGTACTGGGGATAATTTCAAAATCTGGAGGTACCAAGGAGGTAAGAACATTAAAACAATTTCCATGAAAATACTTATAGTAGAGAGAAAGAGGGAAGATACGTTACCTGCGATGGGAAAGTGACTTTAAATTTGTCTGGAATCCCTTTTCTTTCTTTCTTTCTTTCTTTCTTTCTTTCTTTCTTTCTTTCTTTCTTTCTTTCTCCAGTAATACTTTCCTTTATTTCATTCATCTTTTCTTTCTAAATTTCTCCTTTCAATATCTTTCTTCAAATATACTTTTCACTTTTTTTTTGTCTGGAATCAATTTTCTTTCTTTCTTTCTTTTTTTCTTTCTTTCTTTCTAAACCAATCCTTCTTTTCTCCATTCTCATCTTCTAAACAACAATGGCTGTTTCTCTCCAACACTCTATCTTTACCTCCATCCCTCCAAAATTCTGTCGTTCTATCTTCATTAAACGCTCACTCGTTTCCTAATCACATTTCTTTCTATCTTTCTTTCTTTCTTTCTTTCTTTCTTCTAAAAAACCCATCAAGATTTTATTCTATCCTTTCCCGATTTCTAAACAACAATTTTAGTTTTCTCCTCCTCCTCTCTCCTTTCTCCCTCTTTCCTCGATCTCTATCATTTCTCTTGCTATTTCTTCACTAACCTATCACTCCTTCCCATTTTTCTTTTTCTTTCTTTTTCCTTCTTTCTTTCTTTTTTCTTTCTTTCTTTCTTTTCTTTCTCCATTCTTTCTTTCTTTCTTTTCTTTCTTTTTACTTCCCTCCAAACACCCTTCCAGAGTTTATTCTTTCTATCCTTTCCCGATTTCTAAAAAACCCAACAATTTTATTCAGGTTCTCTAGTCATAATTTCTCTCCTCCTCCTCTCTCCTCGCTCTCTATCACTTTCTCTTGCTCTTTCTTCACTAATCTATCACTCTTCATCCTTTCTTTTTTTTTCCTTTTTCTTTCTTTCTTTCTTTCTTTCTTTCTTTCTTTCTTCTAAAACACCCATCAAGATTTTATTCTGCTATCCTTTCTTTCTTAAACAACTTTTCTTCACTAATCTATCACTCCTACACCCCTCCCCTCCTTCCTTCACTTTCTTTCTTTTCTTCACTAATCTTTCACTCGCATCTTTCTTTCTTTCTTTCTTTCTTTCTTTCTTTTCTCCTGAAACACCCATCAAGATTTTATTCTGCTATCCTTTCCAGTTTCTAAACAACAATTTCAGTTTCTTTCCTCCTCCTCTCTCTCCTACTCCCTCTCCCGCGCTCTCTATCAGTTTCTCTTGCTCTTTCTTCACTAATCTATCCTCCTCTTCCTTCCTTCCTTTCTTTCTTTCTTTCTTTTTTTTCTTTCTTTCTTTCTTTCTTTCTTTCTTTCTTTCTTTCTTTCTTTCTTATGAGACATTCTTCCAGATTTTATTCTGCTATCCTTTCCCGTTTTCTCAACAATAATTTTAGTTTCTCTCCTCCTCCTCTCTCTCCCGCTCCCTCCCCCTCGATCTCTATCCCTTTCTCTTCTTATTTCTTCACTAATCTATCACTGGCTTCCATTCTTTCTGTCTTTCTTTCTTTCTTTCTTTCTTTCTTTCTTCTGAAACACCCATCAAGATTTTATTCTGCTATCCTTTCCCGTTTTCTAAACAACAATTTCAGTTTCTCTCCTCCTCCTCTCTCTCCTACTCCCTCTCCCTCGATCTCTATCACTTTCTCTTGCTCTTTCTTCACTAATCTATCACTCGCTTCCTTCCTTCCTTTCTTTCTTTCTTTCTTTCTTTCTTTCTTTCTTTCTTTCTTTCTTCTAATACACACATCAGATTTTATTCTGCTATCCTTTCCAGTTTTCTAAACAACAATTTCAATTTCTTTCCTCCACCTCTCTCTCCTACTCCCTCTCCCTCGCTCTCTATCAGTTTCTCTTGCTCTTTCTTCACTAATTTATCACTCGCTTTCTTCCTTGCTTTCTTTCTTTCTTTCTTTCTTTCTTTCTTCTGAAACACCCATCAAGATTTTATTCTGCTATCCTTTCCCGTTTTCTAAACAACAATTTTAGTTTCTCTACTCCTCCTCTCTCTCCTACTCCCTCTCCCTCGATCTCTGTCACTTTCTCTTGCTCTTTCTTTACTAATCAATCACTCGCTTCCTTCCTTTCTTTCTTTCTTTCTTTCTTTCTTTCTTTCTTTCTTTCTTTCTTCTGAAATACCCATCCAGATTTTATTCTGCTATCCTTTCCCGTTTTCTAAACAACAATTTCAGTTTCTCTCCTCCTCTTTTTCTCTCCCTCTCCCTCCATGTCTATCACTTTCTGTCGTCCTTTCTTCACAAAGCTCTCACTCCACTACTCTGCTTCATACTTTCTTTCTTTTTTCTGTCTTTTTATTTAATAAAATAGACCTTGTTTGACGATAAATAACAACAGATAAAATAAAATCCTACATTTAAAGAAACCTATATAAAGAGAGTCTGTAACCCCAAAACACAAACATTGAAGTCAACTCTCAGATGCGACACGTTCTTTCATGCAAGACGCAGTCTGCGTTCTATCTGTGATACTGAGAACTTTATCCCATAAATATAAACCATATTTCTTCATATATATATATATATATATATATATAAGGCAGGATGTGTGTGTGTGTGTTTCTGTGTGTGTGTATGTGTGTGTGTGTGTGTGTGTAACGAATGCACTGCCGCAAATTTCGACATATTTGCACCAAGATTTACAGTGAGCGGGAAGTCCAAAACCGACTTTGCATTTCCCAACTACCATCGATATTGGAAATAATCGATTCTTTCATGCTTCTACGACAGTTTTCATGTAGTTTCCGGACATTTTGTATTGGCCAGATTGATAGACAATAGCTGGCTGCCACGAATATGCAGGAAGATTCTATTGGCCAGCGTGAGAGCCAACAGCTGACTGACAGGAATGTTAACTAGCATGCTAGCATGCAAAAAAATTCTATAGCTGCATTCGTCACAAGTGTGAAAAATTTAAATCTGCATGGCACTTTAATTGGCTCATTCGCTTGCTTGTGTTCATTTTGTTTATTTTTTTCGTAACAGATTTAACGTTTAGTATAGAGCTTAGAAAAAAATTGCAGTGTGAGATAGGCAAGAAGTAAGGCATGTAGCAACATCAGCACGGCAAAGGGCACTCCTTTAAAGGCAAGGAAGGGCAAAAATATTTTAAGTCAAGTGATAGCTATTGTTGTATGCGTCGTACGGTTTTTGAATCACGCACGGGCAACGCCGGGCCATGCTGCTAGTATATATATATATATATATATATATATATATATATATATATATATCCGAGGAATTTTGAAAAATTCTAGGACTCGATTTCTCACCCCATTTCTTTCTTTCTTTCTTTTTTTTTTCTTTCGTTGATGCGAGTTTCTGATCCTGGGTTTCGCGCCTTTTGCGATCGTCAGACAAACTGATAGACTGAGATAGATACATAGATATTGTCTGACGATCGCATAGGGCGTAATACCCAAGGTCACAAGCTCACATCAACGCAACTAAATATGTTAGCTCTATCGCTGGTATTGAGCGCTTTCCAATCAGTACCGCGCCTATATAATATATAAATATATTGCATATATATATATATATATATATATATATATATATATATATATATATATTTATATACATATATATTATACATATATATATATACATACATATATATATATAGCGAGAGAGAGATGAATAAGCTGTGATAGATAGATAGATAGATAGATAGATAGATAGATAGATAGATATTCGTCGTCATTTATATGCAAATTCTGAAAATATAATAATTATACCCCACCACCACGCTTTAGACTAGATTCTAATCCTTTCCACCTTTCAGTCTTTCTTGCTCATAGACATGACTTTAGGAAACGGCTCACAAGTTTTCAATAGAATTGCAATCTGGAGAGTTTGAAAATCAGGAGATATCTATCGTGACCTAACTTTCCAAAACTTCCTTGGTGAAGGTACAGTTTATAGAGATGTATGGCGAAGATAACGATTAACTCTAGACTTGAAGAGGTTATGACTGTAGCCATCGGAGAAGCTTCCTGTAGGACTCGGTTACGGGAATTAGCTGTCCGTGGGAAGAATCTATTCGAGCGAAACTAATATAATATGAAGGGAAGAGGGCGGTTCGTGCCTGAGATGATGGGTCTTAGTCTTGAATTCATGAACAGATGCAGCTAACTACATTCCAAGGAAATAGCGATAATATAGCGAGAGGCTAACAACCTTTCCTCAATTGGAATGGCGTTGCAGGGTGAAAACTAATTCAGTACTTACAAGGTGGCGGAGACGTTTTTGGGCTCTGTCGAGATTGGAAAATGAATACTGGGTAGCTCCTGCCCATATATGGCATCAGTACTCCATTTACTGCTTGATTTGGTTCTTGTAAATAACAGGAGGAGTTATGTACGTATTGGAGCGGTACAGAAAGACAAACATATTCCTCAGTACCTTTTGCTATGGTTCGTATGCACGAGTTGTTTTCTCAGCCTTTCTTCGACACTAGTGTATCTTTAATATTGATTGAAAACAAAAACTCTACATAACAGAACAGATCGGTAGCCAAATGAATAATTCTGCAGATCTTTCCGATAACACTGAACTGCATTAAAACATTTCCCATGGTGCTTTTCTCTGCTTACAGTCACATCACGTTGAAACTTCGGTTCATGTACGATAATTGAAGTTAAGCAACGCTAAATCAGGTCAGTATGCCGACGGGTGACCTCTTCGGAATTCCACGTGCTGTAGGATTGGATTTGCGGGTGGTATAATTGGCAATAAATTGGAATTTTTGAATGGAGAGCCGAATTCCAATTCCCATTGCTTTACTTATATTTACGAACGCGCTGGGGGAAGAAAAGATGGATTCATATTATTGGAAAAATACGAATCCAGTTTTTATTCCCCCAGCTATGGGTTAATTATTAATACTTGTATCACTAAACCATTATTATATCCAAAAAATAAATTCTTACAATAGAAAAAATAATTTCTGGATTTAAGTAACCTGCAAAGTGTTGATAAGCCGTCTCTTTCTGATTCTGAGTATTTATCTGTTTTTGTTTCTACTTTACTGAAGACGTCATCGTTGCTTACGCCACCCATCATAGTCTTCTCAGCATTCTTCTGTAGAAGCACATTTCTGTTATGTCCAATCTTCTGTTCATACGTGAATCTTTTCAATATTCGCTCGGAGTATTTGGAATAACAGTTCAACACTCTTTTCTTTGTTTCTAATGAAATTTCCTATTGCTTCATACTTTGCTTAGTTTTTGGAGTACACATGGCACAGTGGATAAAAGCGTTAGTTAGATCCAGTGACAGGACCCAAGGAGTGTGAGTTCAATACCCGGTTAAGGCAGTGGAGAACTTCCAGAGGTTAATTAACAGGAGATAACTGATAACTGACGTTCATTAAACATGGAACGTGGAACTAGAACAGTCTACCCCAGTGAGCGAAATAAAGGGTTCAGTTCGACATTTCAACCACCTGCCGAAACCTTGTAATAAATATGGCGACAAAGATGAGGACAATAGTCGGAATAATGTAAATAGTGTACATAATACCTCATCTCAGAAATATAGACAGATACTTTCGGAATACAACTTCCGCTATTACAATGCGCGTTCGGATTTTTTCGTCACATTATCTGTCCTCTGTTAAGACACGTCCTTGATGTTTCAACTTTTGTAGTTGTTTGATTTTGACAAATCCAATTTGTAGTTCGCATCTTGGACATTTTTTTTTTATTGATGGTTGGTCCTTTCTTCTGTCTTTCCTTTATTGCTTTGTCTAAGAAGTTTTGTAGTTTTCTTTCCTTATCTGCTATCAACACAATGTCATATGCGCATCTTATATTGTTTATATTACTCCCACCGATGATAAATCCTGGTAGGATAACCTCTTTGGCTTATCAGAAACAAATATAATTTTTTTAATGTTTGTCATTATAGATAACGAGCAGCCATAGCCAGCTGGTTGATCAGAAAAAAGCGTTCAATTAGAATGGAGCAAAAACAGCATCATGTTTGGATGTAACAGAGTCTGTATTCTTCAATTAAAACGAAACAATCAACGAATCTTAACTTCAATATGTCCTGTGAGTATAAAATTTTACAAGGCATCTTTCCTCATTATGTGCCACAGAAATGCATTTGTCTCTTTCTGATTTTATGACAACATAATTCAGAATCAAAAACTAGGGTTTTATAGCATATGACATTTTCTAGCTTAAAGAAAACAATATTAAAATAGATACTAGCTAAACATCTTAACACAATTTCAATTAAATTCTATAATTTGTCTAATACCTAAAAAATATCATCAATTATATTTTTTAATTATAAGTGATTTTTATTTTTTAATAATACGTACTTTATTTTTCACACCTTTATTTTATCTGCAAGATACAACGAGTAAATTGTTGCCATTTCATATTTTTAATTTCGCGATTGTGCGTCATTTGTTTTAGATTTTCTCGACTGAACTGTATAGTAGTGTTGGTTGGAAACCGCAAGAAATATGGAAACGTCATGCTGTACTGCTTGGCATTCGCACCGGAGACTCCAATATTTCAGAATGTTTGCAAGACAATCTGAGGACAATGCAGAGGATTCGGAAGGAGTTTGATGAGTCTAATGGTGATTACGAAGGCACAGCAGCTCGGAAAACACTTTGTGATCGTTCTGATAAGATAAGATCTACCAAATTTGTTACTGGGTGTCTCAAACTCAACACGGATGACTACACCATGTGCTTTGAGGAGGTAATGCTGTCCTATGACAAGAGGATGGCCGCCCGGTGACCTTATGTCTGGCAACATGAATCTGCACTATGCCACACAAGCAAGGAAATCCAGTCATGGCTATCAAACAATTTCTGCGATCACATCACCCCTTACATCTGGCCATCTAACTCCCCGGACTGCAAACCCTTGAGTATTATGTGTGGGCGCATTTGAGCGAGCGACAAACAAGACTCCTTGTAATACCAATGACGAACTGAAGGCAAGGATTATTCACCAGCTGTTGTGGTAGGATTCACCTAATTTGCATAGTGGAGTACCGACCATATAAATATGGTTGGTACCGGGAAGAGAGGGAGGAAACAAGAGATTCAACCAGAGACTCTGCCCGACTGCGACTCAGTCAACACATTCTCCAGGAACGGTCTTACCAGGAATATACAAATGACTATATGTAAATATTGTGTACACTTTCTTGTTTCAATACATTTTGTTCTAAGTACATTTTGTGTTGCATTATTATTCCATGCATTAGTCAAGTTTCAACACTAACCTAAACAAGGAGACCGTCCAGAAAGTTGTAGGTGATTCCGAAGTCGTCTAGAGGCCGTGTTTGAGGTC